TGGGAACTCCCAGTAAAGTGGTTCATGTTAATATTTCAACTTAAATGCTAATAACTTGAGAAACAACATGTAAGTTGAAACTTTGACACTTTAACTTCCTGTGGCAAATTCCGGACTAACTGTACTTTGCACAATCCAGTCTCTAACGCTTACTTACAACATATTGCACAATCCCACCCCTGCTGCTTATGCTATTTCTTATTATTCAATTTTTGTTTCCTATTTCTATACTTTTTATATTTATACTTGCACAAATACACCACGGCAAATTCCTTGTATGAGTAAACCTGCATGGCAATAAAACCCAATTCTGACACACACACACACACACACACACAGTTATCTGCCACCTCAGCAGCACTCGTCACCATTGATGAATATCTTCGATGGTAAATGACTCGCATACAGAGACCGACGCGCAGCACAGGGTGAACCACTGATGCATTTCTTTTGTCACATCAGTCTCCCTGCATTTATGTGGTGGCAATAACACTTATGACCTAATTACATGCACATGCACACACTTGTACCCACACACACACACTTGCAATGCAAAACATCTCATTTCCTCTTACTTGCTTTTATGGACTTCACACCAAGATTCTTACCCTAATCACGCAAACCTGGGAGCAACCATCTCTCCGCTATTTGTGACGATACATCCAGACTTGATCTTTGACCTAAAACAAACCCAAACCATTCCTCCTTCTGAGTTGCAGCAATTCTGTGGAAATGTTAACCTTTCAAACACAGCTTCACTTAAAGCTGCTAAAGTGAACTGAAGCTGTAAGATATTTAACACTGGTATCTGTGGGAACTGTGAGGTCTGTTAAGGTCTTGACCTTGTTGTCTGGCTCTTAAAATTGTATTTTAATTCATTCCTCATTTTGCCATGGATTTATTTTTGTGTGAAGCGCTTCGTAACCTTGTTTAGATAAGTGTTATACAAATAAAGTTAATATTAATGTAATTATTATCTTTGCAACATCATTCTACTCTTAAGAAACCATAGATGAATACTGCATGAATGAATATAAATGAGACAACCTCATTACCTGTTCATGTAAGATGCTACGGCTCTGTTCTTATGCGACTCTCCCAGATGATGTGAGGATGAATTTAGGATTACGCAAAAAACTCCTGGACAGATTACCATGAAACTTGTTGCAAGGATATGGGGTCGGGAAAGAACCCGTTCAATGTTGGTGTGGATCTGCATCAGGATGGATCCAGGATTTTAATTTCAGTTTCTTTAACATGGTGAGAATCTTTTCACTGATTTCTCCAAGAATAATAAATCAATCTTGATTTGAAATATTAGATTAATTAGATTAATGTTTAGAGAACTGATATTTGTGAGTGTGTGACATTTGGTGCAGATCAAAATACAATTCTGGATCTCTTGAATTTAAATGGGGTTTCTGTTGGGCCTTGCTCTTCTAGTATTTGAATGTACATATGTTTTGCTATGTTGCCTTTCCAGCTTG